TCTTCTTTAGGCCTTTGGATATTGATAAGATGTGCATTGAAAAATTTATAGACACAGGATTAACAAAATAAAAGAGTAATGCAATGTGTTGCGTACTATAGCACGTCTGGGAGAGGTCAAAAGGCTAAACTTTGCATGAATATCTGTTCTGATCGCTATAGGGACCAAAACTGGTATTGCTTTAAAAAATTAAAATAGAAGAATTTGTATTATATTTATGTCCATAGACACCAAAAGGAAAAGGAGATTCCCCTTTTCCGACCTTTTTGAGGCCAAATGTGAGGACTCCAATATCCTGGTTTGCAGACTGAAGGTGTTTTCTTATGTGCCTTCAAAGCTGCCTTTGATAGGAGAAAATGAGATCTAGTACACAGAATAGTACCATGAGTATGAGGGTCTTTTGGTTTCGCTTAATTTTTTTTTTAAAGCATATAAGTTGATGAGGTTTATAAGCTCATGAGACATATAAGCTCTTAAAAAAATAAGTTAATGTGTTTGGATATTTTGTTTTTGTTTGACTTAAAAGCTTTGCATAATTAATAAATGTTTGGTTAAGAAAAGTGGTTATAAATGGAAATATTGATGAAATTATTAAAGAAGACCGACAAAATTAATTTTCCATAAGGGAACTTTGTTAAAATGGTTAAAAGATGAAATAGGCATTATTCATGGCTCATAAGCCAAAAAAATAAGTTTCTTTAGCTTTTTTCCCCATTTATAAGTGATTTGCTTATAAATGAAAATGGCTAAAACAAACACCTTTAATAAGCTGCTTTGACCCAAAAAAAAAGCCATACCAAATATTCCTGTACTCTTCAACAGCAAAATTATTTTCTAATATTGTACCTTGGTGCTGCTAAAACATTCTTATTGTAGTGTTTTCCTGCTGAACTTTGGTTGTTTGTATACTGCGGTTGTGCAATTATGGATGTTGATGTGCTTTGATAATTCATATGAATGTATTTACGGGCCAAACCTGTTTTGTCTTATCTCTTAGGGTTTATTTATAGCTTTTAACTGGATGAAATAGTGTCAAGTTTGCTTCTTTTGTCATTTTACTGAAGTTGCATCATATGAGTTTGATATGGGTACAACTCAATGTCATGTGCTCAAAGAAGAAGACTAATTGCACTAGGAGTTAGTAGCGATTTTCCCTTGTGGAAGAAATCTGTTATGCCTAGTGGTTAGCTAACTTGTAATTTGCTACAATAGAGTTAGGTATGTGACGAGTTTATATATTTATGCCCTCGGAAAAGATTAATTGCTTTTGTTTTTCATATCCTTTGAACAAAGAAAGTTTATGATCAGAAAAAAGTGTGATTTTGGTATTAGTTCTGGGGAGAACACTTCTGACTTACAGGAAGTTAAACCATGGCTAAAAAATCTAAAATTACTCAAGTTGCTTGTATTAATTCAATAAGAATGGTGGATCTATCTGTGAGGTAGGTGTTTTTATACAGTTCTTAATCAGTTCTTGTTATAATTTGGTGTTGCTGATCGATCAATCTGTTGATTCCATTTCGAGTTAAACTATGGCATTGTGGAATTGGCTTTTAAGGCTAGAATGTTGGACCTTTTATAACGTTTTTCAGGTTTCTATCTTAGGCTTGAGGCTCAACAGATCTGTTTGTGTGTGGATTGATGTTTGACTCAGGCCCTAAAATTTTCAAATTACAAACTTTGGTCCTTTGATGTCCAAAAGAATGCTTCCATATTCTAGAAAAAATGATTATTGCTTGCATGCTTTGTAAGGCAAATTTCATAGAGTGCGTTTTTGATATATTACTTTTTATTATAGTATGTCCGTTTGTTTTTCAGGAGTGCTTTCTTTTAGGGTACTCCATAATCTCCTAAAACTCCAACTACTGTTACGATTATATTATTTTTTTCTTATTGCCTGACTCTGTTGACAAAATCTCCTCTTTATTGGTTCAGGGATTGGTATAATCTTGAAAAATCTAAGAGGGTAAAGGCATTCCGTTGTGGGGAATATGATGATTGCATTGAGAAAGCAAAGGCTTCTGCAGCTAATTCTAGTAAGAAAGCAGTGAAATATGCTCGAAGGGAAGATGCCATTCTCCATGCTCTTGAGATTGAGAGTGCTCGCCTAGGCAAGGATCATCCAGACTTCTTCTCTAGAAGAAGAGAGAATTCATGTGATGGGCATGGTAGTTCACCTGGAGAGTCACCTACAATGTCCAATTATAGCAAAGAAAATGAGGACATGACTGATGATACGAGTGACTCCGAAAATGAGTCTGGTTCTGCACCAGAGTTATCCCAATCTGTTATATCTTTTGAAGAACCTAATAATGGTGCTGCTTCGAAGGTGCAACCCATGCAGGGAAAGAGAAGAAGAACCCCAAACGATTCAGAAGATGATGGAACAGAAGGAATCAAGCGAATGAGAGGTCTTGAGGATCTAGGCATTGGTATAGTGTCAAAAGCAAAGGTCCAGGCTGTTGGAGTACCCGAGCCGGTTCAACATGACAATACTCCGCTCTGTGGTTCGAACACAGGTAATTGCTTTCCTAATGGAAATCCTGTAAATGGTAACAAATGTTCTTCCTCATCACTGAAAAGGAAGAGAACTCAAGTGGCAAATGTTCATGAGTTCTTGAAGAGGAAGAATCGTCGCCGACCACTAACAAAGGTTTTGGAGAGTACAGCAATGGTTTCTGTTCCAGTTGTTTGTGATCAATTTGCTAGTTCAAATGATTCACCTCTTCCAGGGTTATCTGACAGCAAGGTTTCAGGGATAGACTCTAATGAGTCAAAGAAACGGTTTCCTGCGGTAATTAACAATAATTCAGACAGCACTGGAGTTTCATGTGAGAATGGCATCTCCTTAAATGCACCTGAAAATGTTGCTGATGCTTCTCAAATCAGTAACAAGGTCAAGGAGAATGAAATTTCCAGCATATCAGGGTTAGCTGAGAATGATTCTTCTGACCGGTTATTTGACGTGCCATTTGTTGGGGAAGACAAACACTCTGCAGGTAAGATGATTGAAGAATTAGTTAACTGCTGACAGCCTTTACTATATTTTAAAGATGTGATTTTGTGGAATGCATGTGTATGCTTTGGATTTGCAAATATCTAAGTGCTTTGATACAGTTTGGAAAAAGACTTCTGGAAGGAAGGAGTTTCTGTAAGTCACTGTAGTGACTCGATAATATGTTGAGAATAGATGGTTCAAGAGACCCAAATAGACTTTCTATAGTTTTACTTATTTAGAAAGGTTTGCAGATAGGTCTAGTTGCTCCGAAAAGTGGAGATGTCATTAAGGGCATTTGTTTTTTTTAAAGTTCCTTAAGGGGCATCTTGGGACTTTGATGTTTAAATTTTTGCCATGGATCTTTTATTTCACACTTTCAAGTGTTCTAAACTTGGAGCTACAGATTTTGCTGTAAATGTTTTCCTCTCTTCACTCAATAATATGAATAAGAATAGAGAATTAGCAGAGGGGTAGCAGGAGAGGAGGCAGAGATCAGGAGAGATGGAGGGGGGATAGAGATGGGATAGGAAGGGAAAGAGGGAGAAAAAACTTATGCATGTTTATACTCTTGACATAAAATCTACAAGCTGATATCAGCAACTTTTTGAAGGATCAGAGAATGATAAAGAGCGGAAAAAGGATTTATCTCATTCTGCTTACTACCTGTGGGGTCCTTTGATTGAGGAATAAAAAGCTTTGAGAAGTTGTCTCACCTTGTATAACTTGCTTAAGACTAAACTCATGGTTTGTGCTTGCCTAATTTTGATTGTTTTTTTTGGGGGGAGGGGGTGAGCTTGGTGACACTGTGATATTTTGACTTGTGCCTATTTCTCTTCCTCCTTCCATAGATGGATGCCATTCCTTTGTTGCCTTGTAGATATAAACGATACCCTTTCTTTCTTGGTAATTTGTAATTTGCCTGCATATTATGTTACAGTTTGGCTTCAGCTTTTGATAGTTAGGATTAGATTTTGGTATCTTATTTCTCTGTTTTGAATAATTTTGTCATAACTTCTTTCTCTGTGCTTCTTTTGTTATACTATGGTTGTTGTAAAGGCATAGTTAAAACATCTAGTCTTTTGGACCTGTGTGCCAGTGTGCTGTCGATGCATGCGCAACTTCTGATGTTTTGATATCTTTGCAAATTGTTTGTGATCTCTGTATTTTTTATGACATCACAATTGCACCATTTTAGTTTCTCTTCTTTTTATCCTAAAAATGTGAGAACGAACAATGGGGAATTGTCTCATTTCACTTAAATATTGTTTCAATCTCCCAGGTCTTTCTTCTGCATTCGTGTCGTCTTCATCTGGGAAGCCACAAGTTGATTTATGGGGAAGGCAGTCTAGTCAGAGCGGTCAGGCTGAAGCTATCTCATTGAAAAATGAGGGACTTCATGAATCTGGTTCTACCAGTTCAGCTGCTGTTGATGTCGATAATAGTAGCGAGAGGATTGAGAAAGATACTTCAAAGTGGCAGTTAAAAAGAAAGAGGAATTCGAGAAAGAGGAGAAGAAGTAGAAAAGAAGAGTTACGAAAACATGTGGACATGGATGACAAACCCAATGATTTTTTGACAGGAATAGAGCAAATGGATGGATTTCCTCACAGTTTGAAGAAAGTTGATTGCAATGGTGTTGGGTCGTCCTTGGCTTCATATGGTTGCGCCTTACAAGCAAAATCCAAACCAGTTGCTGAAGACCCCATGGATAGGTTGGAGGGCTTGAAGAAATCAGTTTGTCACAAGGAAAATCATACAAAAGGTCCAAAAGTCGAGGCAAAGTTGTTGCCTGACGGTTCTCTGACCACTCAAAGGTTACTTCCTTATCGTCAGTCACGCTTTACTGTTCATCCCAGATACCAAATGTCGGATTTTCCTAAAAGAAACTCTTCACTCTATGATGTTAAACTTGAGGTGAAAGCGAGTTACCGGCCTCCTCATGTTCCATTAGTTTCCCTGATGAGTAAATTGGATGGTAAAGCTATTATTGGTCACCCCCTCACTGTTGAGGTTTTGGACAGTGGCTGTTGTGATCTCATGATCAGTAGCAAAGAATGCAAAGGCGCCAATGTGCCCACAGAAGCTGCGGGAGTGACTCTCTCTGTTAAGCGAAATTCAGAAGCTGGAAGAGTTCCTACAAAGCACATGAAGTTGCATTCACGATTTCCATCAAAAAAATCATCAAAAACTAGGAAATCCACATCCTTGTCTAAAAAGATCCGTAAGCTATCCTCACTGACTGGTCAGAAACTAAGTGAAGGACAGAAATTGGAAGTTGAAAAGCCTAAAGAGCCTGTGGTGGCCTGTATACCGCTGAAGTTAGTTTTCAGTAGGATAAATGAAGCTGTGAATGGTTCGGCAAGACCAGCAAACCGATCTTTGCCATCAACCAACTTGTGAACGTGGTTGATGGTGGAGACTTTTAGCAGGTGGCTTTGTACCCATGAATTTGGCTGGTGTCTGTGCAATTTTGATATTCTGTTTCTCGAAGCATGCCCTGGTTGGCAGTGCTTCTGAATCCTGGCTGAAGGGCAAGTCTCTTTCTACCATTCAATGCCATCTTGATGTTTGTAGGAACTTATTGAGGTGTGAAGGATAATGGGATGCATAGGCTTTTTGTATATAAATGTAACATTAGTTGAGGTGTAAAAATGATCTGGTAGCAGATGCTTATGACCAGGTGGTAGGTTTATTAAACCGATGAATGGAGGTTGAGTAACTTATTTTTCCAGTTTAGTTGGTTGGGGCAAGCTATTTTTCTCATGACTTGGTTCCATTGCTTCGAATCTATAAAAGCTTGCTTAAATTTTCAAATAGAAATGCGTCGGGAAGAGGTTTATCCCCCTTTTGCGACTTCTATTTAGCGACCGGGAATTGTAAAGGGTTACATGAAAGATAGCGATTTTATGGAAAATGAATTTTATAATTTAATTTTTTTGAGAATTCCTGCTGTCTGTTTGATGAATCTCTTCTCTGTTTTGCTTTTTAAATTTTTTTGTTGTTCTGTTCCAAAAATTAGATGCCTTTAAAGTTTGGTTTAGATTTAAAATGTTGATTAAGAAATTAATATGATTTAAAATAATCTGCTAAATAATAAATGTTTATAAGAAAAATTTAATTAATTCGAGTAAAATTAAAAATAAGTACATAAAAAAAGCTTACTAGTTTATACATAATGGAAAAAGATGCGATACGATAGCACCCATGTGTATCGGTATCAAGACAGAGCATGACATATATATTATTCAATTTATTTCGTTTTACGTTTATTTTTAATATGTAATATTTAATAATTACATTAATAAATTTATACGGAGTGATAAATCATTTGAGATATAATTTATTATCTACGTACGATGTTAATTGGATTTAACAAAGAAAATTTTGAAGGAAAAAAAAATAATTTGAAGAGAATTTTGAATATTTTATAAAGTGTATTGAGAAATTTTAGTATTTTAGTAGAAGAAACTAATTTTTTTTTTTTAAAATTAAAAAAAACTATGAACCTGTTAATTTATCTGAACAAATGGAGGTGGACCGGCCCATGCAAAGGACAAGATCGTAATAACATAAAATCACCATACCCCTCCTTGTCCAAATAATCATAAACCACCAATTAGGGTTTCCTCCTTAAATCGCAATATAAAACCTCCATTCTTTTCCTTGAACACTTTCATTCTCTCGTCTTTCATCTCCCAAGTAGATACCCTAACAGGTTTTTGTCGCACTCTCTTTTGTACGTTCATAGCTGTGTGTCTGTGTAACTTTCTTCGTGTATATATATATATATATGTGACTTTTGGGTGTATTCCTGATCTGGTGTATTCAGGTTCAGGGAAGGAGGAGATGGCTACTTTGCCTGGGCCATTGATATGGGAGATGGTGAAGAAAAACAACTCTTTTCTGGTGAAGCAGTTCGGGAGAGGAACTGCAGGTCTGCAGTTTAGCAAAGAGGGCAACAATCTCTATAATCTCAACTCTTATAAGCACTCTGGTAAGAATGCTCTCTCTCTCTCTCTCTCTCTCTCTCTCTCCCTCTCCCTATATATATATCCTCATTTATTCTATATGTCACATGTATAGGCAACATGTATATATGTTTTCTTGCCTTCAAATCTAGGCATGAATGCAGGTATATGCTCCGATCTTGTTGGCTTCCTTAGGAAATTTGTCAAAGTAAATGGAAACGAAAATGGATGTTTGGTTTATCTTGTTTCTTGTTCTTTGGTGGTTGCCAAATGAAGAGGGTAAAATTTAACACCAGTTGGGAGTATATATTTCTGGTTTCTTACTTATCTCAATCTTTGATTAGTTGTTAGTAGGACTGAAAGTGCATGTAATTGATGCTTATGATCTTAAGGTATTTCTGCATGTCTTGTGGAAGTACTTGAAGATTGTCTTTCTTATACTTCTCTGGAAACTGATCATGTTTGTTGGTTACAATAGTATTTACTTTGTTTGAGCTACACATTGCCTTGGAAAAGTGAAACTACAGAAAGATGCATATGGAAACCTCTTCCTCTTCCTCTTCTTCTAGAAAAGGACTTTCTGTTCCTTTGTCTTTCCATTTTGCAATGGTGAAAATGTGAAAAACATGGTTAACCACACCCAGGATTGTATATATTATGATTCTTTCTCTTCTAAGCTGCCTGAAATGAACTTGTTTTCTAATGGTTGTTTTTGTTAAGTGTCAATTCTCCAGTGCATTGAATATTCATTTGTCATTGGTTTCCTAGGGTTGGCAAACAAGAAAACAGTCACTATTCAACCGGGAAGTGATAAATCTGTACTCTTTGCGACAACTAAGACAAAGAAACAGAACAAACCTGCAGCGTTGCTTCACAAATCTGTCCTGAAAAAAGAGTTCCACAGGATGGCAAAGGCAGTGGTTAACCAGGTAAGCGTTTGAAGTTGTGTATTCATTTTTTTAGTTTATTTTTTATTTTTGGAAATCTACTTATATTGTTTACTAGCTTAAAGTTTTGACTTATTTTAGTCTGTGATAACTTTGTGGTGTCCTTGTCAATCGGCACTGTTTTTGTTAATCAGTCATTCTTGATGTAGTACTTTTTTCGTCTGAACTTGTGTCATAAGCCCCTAAGCTGCTTGGATAATTCATAAGTACTTTTTTTTTTGGAGTTATATGGTAACAAAAGAATTACTTGCTGATAATCAAGTACTTCGTTTATCTTGCTGTGATGAAGCACTAACATGTAAGAGGAAATCCATTATGTGGTTTCTTCAATGAAATACGCTTGTTACGCTTGGCTTCTGAGCTTGTGCAGGCGAGCAGCACTTCTATATATATAGCATCATGTCTTCTGTGTCATTAATTACTGATGTTATCTACCTCATATCATGTTAGATGTGAGAACTTTTTGTAATCTGTGTGTTGATACCCGATCTGTTGCAGTGTTTTAATTGAAAAGCTTGGAAATTCATTAGTCTAATGATCTAGGCAATGAGGATCATGGTCCTAAGCCAAGTTCCTCATATATGCAGTGATGGAGCTCTAGCATGTAAGAGGAACCATAATTGTTTCTCAATGAAATCTTCTGATCTCATGGGAAATCAGCACTCCCATACTTCTCTATCGCATCTATATAATATAATCACTTCTAATGTCATCAAACCATTTTACGATTTCATTGGCCTAACAAAATGTAAGCAAGGGGTAATGTAGTAGTCATTAAGTCAAATTCTTCATTTATGTCGCAGTGATGAAGCACTAACATGTAAGAGGAACCCATTATGTGGTTTCTTCAATGAAATACACATGTTACGCTTGGCTTCTGAGCTTGTACCTATATAATTCTTCCATTCATTTATGAGGCAGGATGGTTGCCACTATTTAGCTCTTCCACGAGTGGTTCTTCCACCCTACTTGCCCGCAAGTCATGTCTTTTCTGTGGTATTTGCCCTCTTTAAACTGGAGAATTTGTTTTCAGTCTCGGTTGACTTTCATATATTGCAGGTTGCAGATAACCATTACAGGCCAGATCTGAAGAAGGCAGCTCTTGCAAGGTTGAGTGTTGTCCACAGGAGTCTCAAGGTTGCTAAGTCTGGTGTCAAGAAGAGAAACAGACAGGCTACTAGGATCTCTGGCAGGAAGTGAGTTAGAGGATTGACATGTGTTTTTGTTTTCTTAGAATGACTGGCGAATGCCATAAGTTTTCTTATATTTGAATGTTTGCTATTTAAATTTCTTTTCGTATGATTTGAAGATATTTGTCTAGACTGTGAACTGAAGAGATTGTTCTTTTATGGGTTAATCTGTTAGCATTATGGATTTTATTTCCTAAGAAGGCATCTTGTTTTCACTCTGGTGACTTTCAGAGATTTGGTTGGATAGATAGGCTAAAGGCTTTAGTCCTACATTAAAAGACATTTGAAAGATACCCCCTTACCACACTCTCCTCAAACTGTGTTTTACAATATATTAAAGACTAAATTCATTTCAATTTAGTCTGCATTTGTGGTCTGTAAATTTATGCATACCAAAAAAATAAAAAAAAGGTAAATATGTAAAATTATGTTTATTATTTAGAAAAATTTATATTTGGTTATTGTCATTAAAATAGTAGTCATCAAAAGTAAATGAAGTATATATTTAGTAAATTATGTTTATGGAATGTTATTAAGTAGAAATATATATATTTAATCAACAAAACAATACATGTGTATAATGAAAATATCTAGGAATCAATGTGAAAAATCAAAGCTTTGAATCAATAAAAATCTTCATGTTGAGGCTTCTGTACAAATTAGACAACCGAACACCTCAAGGAAACTGGTAGATGCAAATCAAGAGCAACAGGATGTATTTTGATTGATTGGTTGCCCACGCATGTTCATTGAGATAGATCTATTCCCACTAAGCCCCGGCTGACTAGGCATTCTGCAGTGAATTTCAAAAAGAAAATAAAAACACTACCTTTATGTTTCAAATAAGATAAAACGATAACGAATCAACCTTAGCTGACTGCTTAAACCCACCATATTGCAAATGGGTAAGAGTTAGGGTAGGAAAATAATGTAATCGTAGTTAAAAAATGTGGTTTGCTTTCTTTAGGGTAAGGAAAATCTCAATTATTAAATACGATAAAATATTTAAGAATAAATGGCGAAAAACCTAGCTTGTTGTTTAAGCATAAGATTTCTACCTCTATCCTCTTTCTTCTCAGGAAAAAAAGAAAAAGAAAGGAAAATTCTCACCTCTTCTTTATCTCCGAAGCCATGGTCATAAATGCTTGCTCTACATTAGTAGAGTCCTTAGCACTTGTTTCCAAGAATGGAATACCTATCTCATCTGCAAAAGATTTTGCAGTATCATATGAGACTGCTCTCTTGTCTCCTAAATCACTTTTGTTCCCAATCAACAGCTTATTAACTTTATCAGTTGAAAAATTCTCGATTTCTGCCAGCCACATCTTTACGTTCTTGAAGCTTTCTTGGTCAGTAACATCATATACAATCTATCAAATCAGGACCATAGTTATAATCTGAATTTACTTGCAGATCAAAGTATGAAATTTTACTTCACAACTTACGATAATCCCATGTGCACCACGGTAGTAGCTGCTAGTAATTGTTCGGAATCGTTCTTGACCAGCAGTGTCCCACTGAGCAGATTATTTGGACATCTATAAATGAAGGACTAAAAGGATATTGACTGACGAAAAGTGGTAAGTGTGTATATATACTCACAATTTGAAGCTTAATGGTCTTTCCATCCTTCTCGATTGTACGGATTTTCTAAGTAAGAAGAAACATATAGGTTAGAAATCCTTAATCAAGGATATTAAAGCTACTGCAATTCTGGGAAGAAGGTCAGCATATACCACTTACAAAATCAACTCCAATAGTACTTATATAGCTTTCAATATAAGCATCATCCTACACAACAATTAATGGAGTTAAGATACTATAATGACCATAACCAATGTACATGTGGTTCTACATGTATCGTAACACTCTGTTTTTAAGATGGCAAAAAGAAAAAAAATTTAGGCACTCCTTACCGCAAATCTTAATAGAAGACATGACTTGCCAACACCGGAATCTCCAATGAGCAGAAGTTTGAAAAGGTAGTCACTGAAAAACCATATATAATCAAATTTTTCTACCAAGAAATTTGAATTAACATTGGAGTAGAATGATATAAATCATTAGCATAATGCAATAAAGCAAATTCCAATACAACCATAAATCTTATTTGACAAAACCAACCAACAGAAGTTCTGCTGATTGACATTTATGCAACTCCAAATTCTTCTACTTGCTTCATATGCTTCAAACCGATAGTAGAATTTCTTCTTATTGTTCTTTTCACATGCCTGTCTACTATTTGTCTATTTATGCTTTTTAGAAACAGTCCCTAACTAGGATGCTCTCGCATGTTTTATATCCTGTATGGTTAACTGTTCATTCATGTTTATATATTAACCTCACCACAGAAGAGACAACCAAAATTATTCGTTCATGTCTATGTATTAACCTCATCACAGAAGAGAACCAGTAGAAACAGAGACATAATTGTTTGACTATATATCCAACAAATCCAACAGAAACAAAAACACAAACCGTAAGACAAATTATATTGAAACTTTTCTGAACAAAATTTGGCCAATTCTCAACACTATAATGTTCTTATATAAACTGTATAAAAGACTGATAGAATTGAAATCGAAGGCAGTAGGTAATTAAATAGAAACAAAATGAAATCCTCCCAAGCTCTTGTAGCAGAAAATTTTGAAAAATACATTACGAGACTCTTTTCCAGATTATAAATTAAAATAAAAAAGGAAATGTATGGTCAACGAATCATATCAAACCATAATAATATGATCCTTCTACACGCTAACCGAGGTAGTCAGAGGAAAATGAAGAAGAACCGTCACCACTAACAGCAACAAGGACGAGAGAAACGAGCGAAATACAAGTTGCAAATATAGAATGAAAACCTTGTCGATTAATAAAAATTATGTTATTCAAAATACGCGTAAATGTCTGTAACATCCAAATTACTTGCACATAAAATACGACAGTTGTAAGTATATCTTTATGAACGTACATTATAAGAGAGAGAGAGAGAGAGAGAGAAAGAGGAGCATACTATTCAGGAAGCATCGGTGATGGATGGAAGAAAATGTGAAACCCTAAAATTGAATTGGGGGAGTTTCAGAGAGAAGAAAGAAACAAAGAATAAGAAAAGGGAAGATTTAATTAATTACTCCTCCTAATAACCGGATCTCACATTTTTTGACTTAAAAAGATATTTGTAAAATTAAATTTGTATTAAATATTTATTGAGAAATTAAAATAGAAATTCAATATTTTTATTTACAGATGCACCATAATTATTATTAGCTAAATAGTAAGTAAATTTTTTCATTAAATCCGAAAGATATACACTTAATTACCAAACAATACATCTCGGTTATTATACACATCGCTTAAGGTATGTTTGTTAAAGAATTCGAAATAAAAGGAATTAAAAATATTATTTTTTGAAAGCAAAAGTAAGTATGGTTGGCAATTGAAGAATTAAAAAAGTTAAAAGAAAAAGGAAGAAATGTTGTAATATCTTCTTATTTTGTTTAAAATTGAGAAGAAATCATATACATATATACACACATATATATATATATCTCTTTCTAATACTAGAGAGTACCACATGATATTTTTTATTATTTGAAAAAAATATATATATTAATATTAATTATAAATAAATATATAATATATCTTCATCCCATATAACACATGTAAGTTGTAGTTAACTAAAACTTATGTTTAGCAAATAATGAAAGTTTAAAAATACTTTGTAAACAGACGCGTATTAAAATTAACACTAATTAAATTATTAATTACTAGGGCTTTCGCTTCGGGCAAAAAGCTTGGTAACGAAATCCCTGACTTGCATGATTAACTGCGTTGCCTCCGGCAATTCCGGGAACACGTAGAATGCATGGACCATGTTTGGATACTCGATTAAGCTTGCCTCTTTCCCGGATTTCTTTAGCCATTCGTAGTACCTCCTCTGCCAGTCCTTCAGCGGGTCAAACCCGCCCACGAACACCACCGTCTCCGGAAACGCCATACCCGATATATCTAAACAATTTGGTCCGCTCACGTTGACTGCCGGATGATCTCGATTCGATCCCTCCGGCAAAAACACTCTCCACAACCAATCCGTTCGGGGCATGGATACGAGGAACGATCCGACGATTCCGCTCTCGGCCTCCGTCCTCTCTTCTCCTCCGAAAAACGGCTGTATCGATACCAGCCCGATAACTTTCAAAACCCTAAACCGGGCCGTACAAGCCCGAACGGCGACGTGGTGAGCCAAGTTCGCTCCCGCGCTATCCCCTGCTAGAAAACACCCGGAGAGATCTGCGACCGGAGGCAACATCTTCTCGTGGTTGTCGTCGAGGAACTTCAGGACGTCAAATCCGTCGTCGTACTGTGCCGGGTAGCGGTGTTCGGGGGTGAGACGGTAATTGACGGAGACGACCAATGCGGGGAGATTCCGAGCGAATCGGCGGCAAACGGCGTCGTAAGCGATGGAATCTGCGCCGAGGAAGGTGAAGCCGCCGCCGTGGAAGAAGATAATGACGGGGAGACGGGAAGCGGAGGAAACGGAGACGGGAGAGTAGAGACGGAACCAGAGGTTGCGGGTGGGGTCTACGGTGGTATCGAGGGAAGATACGGACTTGACGGGTTTGCAGTTGGGAGAGGTTTTCAAGTCCAAGAAACGGAGGAGACGGCGGTTGACGGTGCCATCGTGGCGGCATGCAGCGTCGATGACGGCTGAGAGGAATCTTCCAGAGAGCCTGGTTTTCCACGGGAGCGTCGGCTTTGGTGGGGTGTGTGGACTTGGAGAATTGGTGACTTCAGTTGCCATGTTATCCGGAGTGGGCGAATTGAAAGCTCCTGGCAGGTAAATATAATCGCAGAAGAATTTCCGATCCAATTAATTAAATTTTAATTTCAATACAAATCTTAATTAAATGGATAAATTGTAATTAGATATGATTTAATAGTATCCTAATAATAAATATTTAAAGATTGAATGCATATATTACAGTGATTTCACAAATTAAAATTTTTTGAGTTTTAGTGAAAAACTACTCTCCACCTGTTCCAAAATTTATTAAGATTTTAATGGTTTGTGGTCCCCGATCATATAATAATCGACGGTAGGAGAACTACCGAACAAAAAAGTACGCGTCATAAAATGTGTACGACGATTTCTTAATTTTCTTAATATAAAAAAAAAAATAATACAGTAATTCAAATTCAACTAATATCTCAAATTATATGAATAATAAATACTAAAATTAAGATATATATATATATATGTAAGAATATTAAATAACATAAGGAACTCAATAATGTGTGATGAACTTAAGAGTAACTACATATAGTAGTAGGCAGAGACATGTCCTGGATGGCATTAACTGCACACCAGGCACATAGGGCTGTACACTCTGCCTTATTGGTCATTGTGTGCATATATTGGTGACAGACCTGAGTACTAGACATAACTGGCAAGTCAAACGAACATGATCGTATCGGATTTTTTGTAAAACAGAGATTACCATGTTGATAATCCAGTGTTATTTTGGTATTTAATGCATGATAATTAGTACTTAATGCCTTGGATTTTGTATTTTGGTAACTAAACTTGGATTAGGAATACTATTTAATTGATTTTAATCTCGTTGCTTCAATCGTTATTCGAATAAACATAAAATAAGAATCGTCACTAATACTACTTAGAGATGAAATTAGATACAGTTAGAAGAGTGTAGATGAACTGGGATGAGGTGTGTCCCGCTGGTGTATGCTAACAGTCATACAATCAATTTGCATGCAGTTAGTTGTGCGCCAGCCATGTTGCAAGTATGGCGAATGCCATTCATTTATGGGGAGGATGGGGGGATTAAATACATTGGAAAAAGGAAAGATTGTAGGTTCTAATTCCGAGATGCCACGGTCCCATTCCAAATATAAGCAAGCTCACAAAAGGAAATGGTAGACCTGTAATTGCCACTCAACATGGATTAAGTCAGTCTTAGACATTGATACATTTATATGTACAATTTTATCCATCCAGGACCGACCAAATTCGGTTCAAAATAGAAGAAATATGAATGCATATGTCTAATTGTAACAAATAAAAGACACGACTGTTCAAATTGGATCTCAATCCCCGTCGTTTATCTTAAGAGAAGTAAGGCGTCGCGATCCTAAATATCTCAAAATTAGTTTTGAAGATGTAATTCTATATTAATAATGAACTGACCAGAACACACAAAAAGTAATTTTATTTCTAACTTCAAGTATTTTTAGAAAAAATTTAAAATCCAAAAAAGTTAACGGGCTTGAAGAATGATGAGAAAGTCCAACCCAAAAGAGGACCAAGCCTTGGTCTAAGTTTCGATATTGCATACGTCGTGTGGATTATATAAGAGTTCTGCCGCGTCGCGAGGAGACCAGATTGAGATAATGAGATGATTGCGCGTAGAAATGAGGCTGCATAATTAGCCCAAGCATGTGGAGGCAGTATATTAAATGTAAAACTCAAAGTTTTGTAGAAACAGAACCATAGACATAAGGATAAGCACATGACCCATTTCGTGGACATGGAAACAAACTCAGACCCAAAAATTTTAACAGTTTGAAGGTTCAGATAATACTATGCATTAAACAATAAGACTTCATATGATTTTGAATGCCTGGCTGTAAGAGAAGTTAAATGAAAGCACTAGGAAAGCAGAAAACAAACAATAATCCAGAAGATTAAAACAACTCATTAAATCCTTGGATTGAAGATCAAATTCACAGGTAACAATCATCCATTTTCCAGGATTAAAAGCAACCTATGAATCTAACAATGAACAAAGCATGAAAATGTTAATGCTCGAGTGTAAAACATATTTAACAAAGAACAAAAAAATATGAAGCACATACATTCTAAATAACATTCCGAATTCAATCTAACAGGAAACAGATGAGGGATCACAGAGCAAATTACCCAATAAGTACCCAAATATTCGTTGTTTATTCCTTTACCTGGGTCTCTGGTTCTCCGGTTGTCCTCTTTGAAATCTCTCTCCCTCGGTTAAAACCCCTCTGCATATCAGCCTTGAAATAGGAAGTAAGGAAACAGCAAGTAAGCTTATTCTCTCTTTTAGCTACCGCAGAATTGCCTCCGTTTCTGCTGAAATCCTCCCCCACCCAGAAGAAAAAGGAGACCTCAGCCTCCTCTCCTTCCTAATCGAGCCTGCCACCATCCTTAGAAGCCCTAGCGTGCATTTTAAGCCGCCGTCTTTCTTTCAATCTCCACCGCTCATCAGCACCAGAGGGGTACCAATCGCGCAGTTCTAGTATTAGTAACAACCTCTTCCTCGTCCGTCTGTAAGCAACTAGAGTCTTCGTCCTCCGAGCTCTGGTCTCCTGCTTCGCAGCTGTATGCTTCTCTTCTTGGCGTTCCCATCATCTTCGCATGCGCCTGATCACTTTGGTTTCATCATCACCTGATCCCTCTGCATCTCATCCCACGGTTCTCCTCCAAATATGCGAATTTTTCAAACATTTATTCTCATTCTTATTTTATCTTTTAAACATTTACAACTTTTAAATTTATAAAATAAGAAAAATAAATAAAATAAACATGTTCAGCATACTCAGCTAATGACAGCTCCACGTTGAAGGTGTCCGGTCAACTTAACATGTCATATTGAATATTATAATTTACACGTTCATATATATATATATATATACACACACAAACACACACACAAACACACGTGTATATAAATTGTACCGAGTAACGAGAGTCTTATTCTGCACACAAGTTTACAAGTCAAGTCAACCCAAGCCACCTACCCCCTGCTCCAAGTTTTGGAATAGTACAATGTGGGCTTTTGCTTGTCTGCCTGCACAAGCGTAGGTTTCCACCCGGGTATAAAATGAGTGTCGATGATGAAAATCTTGGGGGAAAGAATCATGTCCGTGAAGAAAAAAGTTGGTATAGAAAATACCGACGATGTGAAAAGCAGAGGTGAAGATGTTGTTGGGTCGAAACGGAGGCGTTTTAGTGGGTGTTTTTCGTTCAAGGAGGTATCAATTGAGCCCGCAGGATCGCGTCTGAAAGAGGTGGATTCCAACAAGTTGAAGGATGAGATTAGAAGATGGGCGAAGGCCGTGGTTGCATACGCTCGCCAAGTCAGCGGCCGATTCGGAAGCTCCAGAGGCGGTGATCGGTTTGGCAGCTCTCGCGGCGTTTCATTTCGGCCGTCTTCCAAGAAAAATTTCAATTGACCAACATTTTTTGTTCATCACGTAAATATGATTTCTTCGTTTTTGAAGTTTTTGTTTAAAATTTTGTAAAATACCCACTGTGTTTACATATGTAATTTACTATTATATTGATATATGATAAATCCCGCCAAAAGCAACAGATACTAACAAACATCCCAACAAACCGGTGACACATGTTCAGTTCCTTCTTTAACAGCTGTAACCAACCGTCTTCAGTATAAATACCCCCTCCCCTCCCCTCGCTTTTCTCTCTCGTTTCCCTCTTTCCTTGTTCAAGCTCTCTCTTCTCCATGGAGATTTCTCTCCGAGCAACCTTATTGCTTTCTCTCTCATTTTGCACGCTCTGCGTCTCGCGAGGAACCGCCATTGAAGGTCTCGAGTCCAGCTTTACAAACTATCCACAGTCACCGACAACAGCCCCACCACCACTCTTCGCTTCCTCACCACCACCGCGACTATCACCTCCGTGGTCTAAAGATGTCCGTGACCACTCCTCCTTACACACGGCTATCTTGAGCCCCATCCTCTCACACCTTGGCTACAATGAGTTCGCTGTCGCCGCACATTCTCTGGCTTCAGATTCCTCCTTTAACACCTGGTCTGGCCCTTACACTCTCTTTGCGCCATCTGATTCCTCGGTCCGTACATGCAACTCTTGCTCGGTGCCTTCTCTCCTCCGGGAGCACATGGTTCCTGGCCTCTTCACCGTCGATTATCTACGCAGACTTGCTTTCGGTACCAAGATCGAGACACTGAGCTCTGGCCGCTGCATCACCGTCACCTCCTCCAAGAAAAACGCCACCACGGCCCCCAAGGTTTTCATCGGAGGCGTTGCGATTACGCATCCCGATCTGTTCAACAACGGCCTTGTTGTCATCCACGGAATCCAAGGCTACGTCTCTCATCTCTCGCCCTTGTCCTGCGATGTGCAGCGGATTAGCTCTATTTCCTTCCCAGTCCAGCACGATCGCAGTCACCAGAGCCGTTCGCAGCCTGGCGCCCCTACTATGCGCCTCATGCTCAGGGACGCCATTCTCAGGCTCCGCAACAACGGTTTCACCATGCTATCCCTCGCCATGAAGGTCAAGTACCCGCAGCTTGTGAGTCTCAGCAATATGACTGTCTTTGCTCTTGACGACGCCTCCATATTCTCCGGTTCCTACACTTACCTCAGTAACGTCAGGTTCCACATCGTGCCAAATCAATACTTCACCATTGCAGAGCTTGAGAAGCTTCCGTTGGGAACAATGCTGCCGACAATGGAGAGGTGCCAGGATCTGGTGGTGACAACTGCAGGGGGAACGTCTGCCCCCATGAGAATCAACTATGTGAAGGTGAAGGTACCTGATGTGATGCAAAACCTCAAGATTGTTGTGCACAGCGTCTACTCGCCGTTTCCTCATGTCCATCCCGTGACTGCTGTGCATGAAGACATGCTACCAGAAGCCAGATTGGACGCTAGAGATCATCCTGCTGTTGATCGCACGGTGAATGGTGGTTGCTCAGTTCTGGATGAGTATGGCAGATGTGATGTCATCTCCTTGCCTCGTTTCAAGCCAACACTGGACATTGAAGATCACCATATGTGACGTGTGTGTTTACCATTATCGCGGTGCATTTTCTTGGTGAAAATCATTTCACTTCGTTGTTAATTGATGATGCTTTTTCTTTTTCCTTTTCCCATGGTCTTTTACCTTTTTTCTTCGAGGATGAGAACGGTTTGTTCTCGACTGTTCTGATGGATATCTCTGGCAGTAGTCTGCTTTGAGTCTTTTTCTAGTGTCAGTTCGTCTGAGTGTTAAACAGCGCTTTTTGCATAATTGGGTCCTGAAAGCTCTGAAGTAGAGAACGTAGTTTTTCTTTTGGACGGGAAAGCAGAATCCAGTTAGAAGTTTGTTGCATCCATGTTTGGGACATACCTGCTTCTTTTTTCCCCGATTTGGAACAGAACGAGGCTTTCCCTCATAGCTTTCTTTCTTCCTTTTTCCTTAAAATGACAGAATTATATAAACGCAGAAAAGATGAACCTAAGCCGTAGTTTTTACGCTTGAATTACTGTTTCAATTATATTAGAATTGCAAATATACTTAACAGTTCTTGTCATTCTCCTCAAATTCGTAACAGATTTCAAGAATCATTGTTTAGAATTAAACCAGAGTTCAAAACTTAAGATATCCTTTTAACAATTTTTATGGAAAAAAAGAAAACTTGGTTTGAGCCATGTCCTACCAGCAAAGCTTCAAAAGTTGTTGGGCGCGGAAGAACGTTATTTACAGAAGCATAATCACATTTTCGATTTTACCGACCAAGCTTCATTCCCATTACTTTATCTCAAAAGAATACAACAACAAGAACCAGGTGCTTTACACAACACTAAACTACCCACCAACAAGTGAGGGGAAAGGGAAATTAAAACAGAAGAAAAAAGAAAGAATCAAACAGAACAAAACGAAAATTTCCTAATCAAAATTCTCTGAGTTGCAACCGCAGTATGATGTGTTTGACTGCCGACGAAATGTTGTCTTCTCAATTAAGTTTATTCAACAAGGTCTTTTCTCTGCCAGAAATGCTTCTCAACAGCTGTTTAGAGCACATGTCTTGCGCCTGTGTTGCATTCTTCACCCTGTTGGCTCGCACCCACGCAGGTTCCTGTCCATTAAACAGAGCTCTATACTCAATTTAAGTTTTTCCACAAACAGTTCATTAATGCCCCTCATAACAACACTGGTAAAAGGATTTTGAATTAAACTGCTTAGTTGCGTATAGATTTAGAGTACGAGGAGATTACCTCGGGAACAAAACGGGAGAATCCAAATTTAATCAACAAGAGGACGTGCTCCATTATAAGAATTGCCGCCAATCCAGGCTCTATTTTCCACTTCCTCTCCTGGTCGTATAAGCATACGAGCAGTGCAGAGTTGGTGCATATTGACATCACTATCAAGAACTTGAATTTCAAAAAATAAGTACCAGTATCAGTAAGACATTTGTTAGGGACACTGAACATTTGAATGACTGTACTCCAATCACAAACATAAGCTGATGAGGGCTCTGGCAGAGAAAAGCCTCCGACAACAAAAAGGAACCCAAGTTACCAGCGCAAATATCTAACCAAAACAGGACATACTTCTTTGGCACATTTCTTTTTCTTTCCAAAAGGGAACACAGAGAAGCATATTAAGAAGGGATTCTTTTATTTCAAAGTTGATCTGCCAGCAGGCAAGAATTTTTCTAGATCTTGAAATTGGGCATTTAATAAGCTGAACTTAAAATTGTACGAATGCTTGGTGAATTCTAAAAGCTCGAGTTAATACAATTTCATAAGCAGGTAGAAGGGAGATTAGATATATGCCACAATTGCATTAAATCTGCAGAACTTTGAGACAGACTCAACCAAACTAGCCCGTCCCAACAATTTCTCAATTCAGCACTTATCTGCAGCGAGAAGAAGCATATGCCATACTCTCAAGAAAGAACATAAAACTATAAGAAATATCTTTTTTTAGTTGTAAAAAGTTTCTTTTTAAGAATTTATTTTGAAGATTCGTGTGTTTATATACAGAA